GATGACCTTCAGCCCAGCATCTTCGGTGTTGCTAGTGTTACTACCTAAAGGCAACTCCGCAAGATGAAATTATCATTTTCCAAGTGTTATGGTGATAGTGAAAGTGATATATGTGACGATGATGAAATCAATTTTATGCCCATAGAGGATTCAAGTGAGTGATTATCATTATTCCCCAGTGAAACTTTTAGGCATCGTAACCTACATTCAGGCAGTGTGCCATATGTAGTTGGCGGCAAGGGTTGTGGCAGGTCACAATCCAAAACCCCAGCTAATGATAGTGATCATGAAGGTGAATATGCTGGGATGGAGGAAGAGGAGGTTGGTGGCATGGTGCCTGGACCTTGTGGCACGGTGGGTGGGCAGATGAAGGACCGCCCGGCACCCTCTCAAACGTGTGTTGCCTCCACTTCAGTCCCTCCCTCCTGCTCCCCCATGACCCATGCCACAGGTCCACCCTGCACCAAGTGACCGCAAATGGAACTGGACAAAGTACACCATGCCACATCCTTTCATTTCTGATGCCAGTGGAAGTGGTATCATGCCACACCTAATTGTTACCCAGACCAACATGTACTACCAGTATACAATGGACCACATAGAAGTTTCAGAATTGTCATGGCTGCACAGGTTGAAAGACACAACTGAGGCTGAAATGCATTTATTCCTTGGCACAGTCATGCTTATGCCACACGTATAAGAACAATATAGCACACTACTGGTCCACAGACCACTTCATCAGTACTCGCTGTATAGCCCTTGTGGCTTAGCGCTTCTTTTAGATTATAATAATTCATCAGTGCTCCAGTCTTCCGTGACCACCTCCCCTGCAATAGATTCACTCTGTTGCTACGAATGTTGCACGTCTCAAACAGGAATACGGCAAACCGAAATGACCTATACAAAATCAGAGAATTGTTTATGCATCTGAAGCAAAAATTCAGTGCCTACTTTTATCCATTCAAGAATATTGTTGTCGAGTCCTTGATTCTGTTCAATTGACACGCTGTATAACCCTTGTGGCTTAGCGCTTCTTTTTTATTATAATAATAATGTTCAAGGGACGACTGTCATTCAAACAATATATACCAAGCAAATGTAACCGCTTTGGTATAAAACTGTGTCACTGTGAGACTGGTCTTGTGTTGGATGTCATTATCTACACAGGGAAAAACACACTAGATGATATCAGGTGCACATTGGGCATTTCTGGGGATGTTGTTCGCAAGATGATGCAGCCATACCTTGGCTAGGGTCATACATTGCTCACAGACAACTGGTATACAAGCCCTATGCTTGCTGATTTCCTATGTGTGAACAATACTGATATGTGGAACAGTGAGAAGCAGTAGAAAACACATGCCAAGGTTCACTGGAGGAAGTGTAGTGAAAGCATTTCATGCCAATGACATCATGGCACTGATATGGCATGACAAACGGGATGTGACGTTGCTGTCATCCATCCACAGAAACGAGATGGTACAGACAGACTGAGCAAGCACAACAATGAACCTATTGTAAAGCCAGCTGCTGTCATCGACTATACGAACAATATGCGACTAGTCAACAAGTGTGACATCATGATAGGGTTTGACTGTGTGTGTAGGAGTTGCAAGTGGTATATGAGTGTTTTTCCACCTTGTGGACATTGCAGTGCTCAGTGCATTCAACATGTATAAAATAGACAGGCAAGCGACAACGATATGTGGAATTCACCCTCAGTGTCATCAAGCAGAGAGTGAAAAAGTATGGTACCACACCTATACCTGTCACTCCACAACATCGACCTGTCACCCCACAAGAAGAGGTAAGTGCCCAACCAAATAATCTGTCACTGCCTGATATCAATACCATCTACTCCAAAGACGTACTCTCAGAAAGTGTTGTGTGCTTAGACTACACAGCGACCCCAAATGCGAAAAGACATACAATTCATGCCAGCAATGTGGGGTGGCACTCTGTATGAATCCATGCTTCTTGGAGTATCATACAGTGGTGGACTTCTAGAAACATAAATGGGACCTGTAAATATCTGGTATATATATATGTAAACAATAGTATGTGATTGAACCAGGTGTACAAATTCATCTATCAGTGTGAACATGTGTGTTTGTGACAGTATGATTATTAATTCAGTACTAAACATTTGTCTCAAGAATTGGCTATGAAATCAAAAGATCTGCAACAAAACATTATCATAACATGAAAAGAATTGGAAAAAATGATAAATGTTTATTGTTTCTGCAAGCGGCAGTATTCCATGTTGCCAACACATCATTTAGCAAGAACTTCGTGGGCTTATATCTCGATAAGTACTGGCCCTAAAATTTTTTTTTTATCCTATAACATCTATAAAAATGCACTCTTCATTTAAAAAAAAAAAAAATTTTATTTTTTTAAAATATTTGGAGTGCTGCACGAGTGAATGTGATCTACGTTTGGACAGTTTAAGGGTTAATGACCTATCTGTTTAATGACTGCTCGGACCTACGACCAGTATGCAAACCTAAGCAATGCATATTAGAGTTGATTTCCTCTTTTCTGTTTATTACAGTATATAGTACACTACTGTATAAACATTTAAAAATACAGTACAGTTTTACACTTCGTAAAATTCAATTTAAATGGTTCTGCTCTCAGCAGGGAAAAAATTTCAGTACCACAAGCTGGTACTGAATAAACATTACCCATTGCTTGGGTATCATTTATTCTGTTAGTGGGTTGGATTTGTGAAGGACCTGCCTAGTATGGGCCAACAGGCCTACTGCAGTGTTCCTCATTTCTTACATTCTTATGTTCTCTGTGCAGTAAGTGCAAGGCAGTCTGCCTGTGGGTCAATTCACTGTCTTTTGCCAGGACGACCCTAGTTTCCTACCCTGCCACCTCCGTACGTGCTCAGTATATACGCATCCAGTGCGGTACCCAGCATTGTCTGTGAATCAGGTTTTGGTCTTTTCATTGCCATATACTGCATCTGCCAAGGAACCATGGTGCCCAGGAGACATGCAAGTGATGCTGGAAGTGACAAGACAAAGTAAAAAAAAAAAAAAAAAAAAAAAAAAGGTTCAAGTACTGGAATTATGAAGAAAAATGATATATTAGATAAGCTTAAATGTGGTGCCTGTGGTGGACATGGCAAGAGCTTATGGCCTTAATGAAGCTTGTGCAATGAATAACCCAGGCTACCATCTTATTTATTGACCTACTGAGTTGACTGATTTACTGAATGACTTGACTGATTTACTGAATGATTGACTTACTGCTTTTGTGTGTGGCCAGCAGTAACTGCCTGGTTGAGCATACCCTAATCCACCACGAGGCATGGTTTCAGACCGAGCCGCGGGGGCATTGACCCCCGAAACCCTCTCCAGGTAAACTCCAGATACTGACTGACCGGACTTACTGAACAACAATTTAAAGTAAGAAATATTATTTGTTGCATTTGTAGTTTTAACAACAGAAAAAAACATACACAATGACAATGAACAACAATTGCATTATCATTTTTATTTGCATAAGATTTGGAGACCTAAAGAAAAAAAATTTTTTGGCTTTTCTTTGGGGGGGTCCCAGGAACATAACCCTATTTTTCCCACAAGTTCTTCAGTTCCTTAAACACGGATTCGTCTAACATTGCATTTTCAGGAACCTAACTACCATCTTAATTGATCTACTTCTTTCTTTCAACAAACTGGCCATACCCCACCAAGGCAGTATGGCCCAAAAATAAAAACAAGTTTCTATTTTTTTAACTTTAGTAATGCATACAGGAGGGGTTACTAGCCCCTTGCTCCCGGCATTTTAGCCACCTCTTACAACACGCATGGCTTACAGAGGAGGAATTCTATTCCACTTCCCCATGGAGACGATCTACTCTATATTAAAAATGTTATAAATGGTGCAAAGGTGACATTAAAATATCTAAAGAGGATTGACACAAACCCACTACCAGTACAGTATGCTCCTTGCTTAACGACTAATTCGCTTACTGACCTACTCTTAACAACTGAGTTCTGTTCCTAAGTGAGGAGTACCTGTACTATATGTTCAAGCTTCACTTCATTATATCACTGCCCATGTTTATTTAAATAAGTGATATACCAATTGTGGCTTACTGTATACTTTTCTCCCACTCATCTTTAGATGATCTGCAAGGTTTAGTTTCATCTTTACCTGAACCATTTCTACTGTTGGGAGACTTTAACAACCCTCACTTCAAACACTTTTATATATTGTGAATACTGGGGATTCCACCCAAGTCAAATCTTTAACTTGTGCCCGGTCCAGCACTGACTTTTCAGTTTGCTCATCTTCCGTCTTTTATACATTTTTGTTATATCCTCTTCTTGACTATCTGTGGCTATTTACCAAACCCTGGGAAACATTCATAAAAATATTCACCCCGAAAGTGGGTCCAACTGTACTTGGGTTATTCAACTAGAACTGCCACATATTCTGTCAGACTGCTGATCACTATCTAGATTTCAAGAAAGCAAGGATGCATGCACATTGCATCATACATGCAGCTAATCTTACTGGAGTACATATGGCTCTATTCTGAATGCCTATGCTCTTTATGAGCAGAGTCTGGAAGGGGCTGCAGAAACTAGCATAGAAATATACCTAGTTGGATGAATCTTAGTAGAGCCAACTGGCCGAGTGGTTAACTCACTCGCTTGCCTTGGGGGCTCAAACCCCACCTGTTCTGTGATTTGGCAAGCAGATACTCTACAGACATGGCTTCTGTCCCTAAGAATGCTGGTGAGAAAACAGTCGACTACTGATGTACCAGCAGCTATAAAGCATCATTATGCATCACTCAGAAATACTTTGGCCCAAACTTGTGCACCCATCTGTCACTATGTATTACCTCTCATACTGATGAGCTGTATATTTTAGATACAGCCTCACCCATGTCTAAGGAAATCTTGATAACCAATGGGCTTTGTTTGACATTGGTATATTACACTAAAACTTAAGGATAGTTAATAGCAAAAATAAAATGTACATATGTAATAATTTTATTTACACACACTGCTGAAAAACTATGTTCCAAGATAACTGGGTGTTAAACTGAATTATTTAGAAAGGATTATATCCAATAACAGTTTTTTTCAACTCTCCTTTCTTCTTAAGGTGTTTAGGAAGTCTGCTTTTGGCTTCTTGAATCATCTTAAGAACCTCAGGCCTGAAATTGAGAAGATAATTTTGACATTAAAAAATAAAACAGGATAATGTAGGGTACACACATGAATGTATGTATGTACAGTGGTACCTCGGGATATGAATTTATTTCATTCCAGAAGGCTGTTTAAGTGCCGATACCAAAAGAATTTGTTCCCATACGGAATAATGTAAATTAGATTAATCCATTTCAGACCCACAAAAATACACTTACATAATTGTTTGAGTTTTGAACTGTTCGTATCCTGAGGTACCACTGTATATATATACAGTGGACCCCCGCAAAACGATATTAATCCGTTCCTGAGAGCTCATTGTTATGCCACTACGATTCTTAAATCTCTCAAACTAACCTTTGCTGGCTTTATATTCACCAATATGAGCACTAGTTCCAGGCATTTTTCCCTGTTCACTTGGGTGTTAGTTGACTGGTGTGGGTTGCATCCTGGGAGACAAGATTAAGGACCCCAATGTAAATAAGTTAGACAGTCTTTGATGACACTGACTTTTTTGGGTTATCCTGGGTGACTAACCCTCTGGGGTTAATTGTTTCTTGGTATTCTCAATAAGCAGCAGCAGCAGCTGACGGTGGTACAGCAGCAGCAGCAGCTGACGGTGGTACAGCAGCAGCAGCAGCTGACGGTGGTACAGCAGCAGCAGCAGCTGACGGTGGTACAGCAGCAGCTGACGGTGGTACAGCAGCAGCAGCAGCTGATGGTGGTACAGCAGCAGCAGCAGCTGACGGTGGTACAGCAGCAGCAGCAGCTGATGGTGGTACAGCAGCAGCAGCAGCTGACGGTGGTGCAGCAGCAGCAGCTGACGGTGGTGCAGCAGCAGCAGCTGACGGTGGTGCAGCAGCAGCAGCAGCTGACGGTGGTGCAGCAGCAGCAGCAGCTGACGGTGGTGCAGCAGCAGCAGCAGCAGCTGACGGTGGTGCAGCAGCAGCAGCAGCTGACGGTGGTGCAGCAGCAGCAGCAGCTGACGGTGGTGCAGCAGCAGCAGCAGCTGACGGTGGTGCAGCAGCAGCTGACGGTGGTGCAGCAGCAGCAGCTGACGGTGGTGCAGCAGCAGCAGCTGACGGTGGTGCAGCAGCAGCAGCTGACGGTGGTGCTGCAGCAGCTGACGGTGCTACAGCAGCAGCAGCAGCTGACGGTGCTACAGCAGCAACAGCAGCTGACGGTGCTACAGCAGCAGCTGACGGTGCTACAGCAGCAGCTGACGGTGCTATAGCAGCAGCAGCAGCTGACTGTGCTACAGCAGCAGCAGATGGTGCTACAGCAGCAGCAGCTGGCGGTGGTACAGCAGCAGCAGCAGCAGTTGACCATGGTACCACAGTATTTCGATAATATTTCTCACCCTTTTTACCACAGGGTTGGCACTAGAGGCTTTCTTGGGGCCCATGGTCACTTATTTTGCAGATAAAATCACCAAAAACACTGTAATAATACGAAATGTTCCGATTGTATGCTTGGATGTTACCGCGGAGGCTGGCTCAGGCCGCACATTAGACGCGTCTCGGATGAATAGTGTTGAGCGGGTTTTTTAGCGGTATGCGAGGCAAAATCTTTGCGATAAAATGTGTTTATATTGCCATATTGCGATAAAATGTATCGGTATGCGGATTTAACGTTATGTGATGCCAACGGTATGCGGGGGTCCACTGTATGTGTGTGTGTGTGTGTGTGTGTGTGTGCGCTCACCTAGTTGAGGTTGCAGGGGTAGAGTCCAAGCTCCTGGCCCCGCCTCTTCACTGGTCGCTACTAGGTCACTCTCCCTGAACCGTAAGCTTTATCATACCTATGTGTGTGTGTGTGTGTGTGTGTGTGTGTGTGTGTGTGTGTGTGTGTGTGTGTGTGTGTGTGTGTGTGTGTGTGAATGAGAAAAAAAAAGAGATAGATACAAGCCTTCGCTTTACGTAGAACCACTATAATATGACATCTTATTTCTATTAGTAATTTAGTACATGCAATTTACAATCACCTAGTATGACTGGCATGGTTCACAACATGCACCGGAGATTCTCATTATGCATAATTAGGTACTTTTGGTCTGAATGAGCTCAGAATGGCTGCATCTACAGCTACAGTACGTATTACTGTATTTCCCTAAATCATATTTGTGCACCAAACATTTGCAAATTTTCAAGATTTGCGAGGTTCTTGATCCCCTAACCCTTGCAAATGTGGAGGGCCTCCTGTATTATTATTTTTTAATTTATTGCTGTATATTAACATAGCAGGTAATTATATTAAAGGAAAGAAGCTATAGCTATCAAAATTCATACCTGAAAGAAGGAAACTGAATTTCCTCATGAAGAGTGCACTGTGAGTGCTGCTGTGGCTCAATCTTTGTCACACCAGGCCGGAACACATCAATCTCTCTCCTGCAGGTGTCCAGTATTTCACTCACAGCAGTAGGTGGTGCAACAAAATTAATCAAAAAGTAACTGAAAAAATCATAATTAGACTAGATTAATAATACAAACATAAGGGAATGCTAATGGAGTTATACAGTGCCTAAGGAATAATTCAGTCCATGGAAAGGCAGGGTTGCTCCTATACTTTAGATCTAGATCTAGATCCCTTCACCAGCATCAGGGTACATTCCTTATAGGGTATTAAGAGCAGAGTCATACCCAGGTTAGGAACCACAATGAAAAAGATGTCCAAGTCTCTAGCATGCAACACATTAGGGTACATTATTATTTACAGAAAGTTGCACCTAGGGCATATATTCAGAGGGACACTTCCTACTTAAGGTTTATTTTGTTACTTATGTAAGCGAAGATGGTTCCCACTTTCCCATCCCTGAAATGGATTAGTGACCACTGGCCTTGCAATATAGAGGTTAACATAAATCTTATGGGTGTCCAATCCAAGATGATCTATTTAAAAAAAAAAAAGTTAGTGACTAATTCAGAATGGACTGAAATGTCAAGTCACAACAATATTCAGGATGGGTTTTAATGTTTATCTTAATTTTCTGTGTCTAAGTTTTTTTTTTTTTATGAATTATTATAGCCACAATATTGTGATCTGTATTTTCCAAGAATACTCGAATTACAAACGGAGCATCAAAAGTAGTATCTCATTATAACATAAGTATTAGCCATGCCATACCAGTATATGAGGAAGGAGCATGCCTAAATGATACACTGGCCAGCTACCAGGTCTTAAACTAACCACAAATAGCAGTGAAAGTTCCCACCGATGCATTCTTGCCATTACGTATTTTAATTCTGTATTATACAGCCATCTCTACAAATTCAAGGAGTGTCACATCTTAGAGAGCTCATGGATCTATAAACTACAAATAACATAAAATATAGTCAGATTTGGTTTCATTTTGCAATTCAGAGACTTTTTCTGTAATACTGGTACAGGTCCGCCATCACAAATCCGGCAATCAGATATCCGGTTCCATCAGTTATTCGGTACTAATTTCGGCTAGCATAATTTCAAATTTCCAGGGTCCCCACACCAACCTGCTGGTACTGTTTGATGGTGCTACTTGCTGCATAAGTCATTCCAATTTCTTTTTCTCAACTTACTGTTATAACCTGCTTATTTTTAGCCCTAGCCATGGTTCCAATGAATAAATGTTTTTCATTGTGTAAAGCACATACACAGTACATTGTCCATAAAAGATAAGGTGGCTTTGAAGCCACTGTTGGTTGCCATGAGCTCAGTCTCATGATGCAGGGGAATATGCTTTATTATTACACTAATATCAACACTACTGCTTATTTGCCTATCACAACTGATCAAATATGACATAATAAACAATATAAATAACATAAAAACATGTTATATACTCCAGAATTAGTAATATCTGGCATAATACTGAGCAGTTCGACAGAGGTATGAAGAGGATATGGGATACAAGTACCATTCTCCTATCCCTGTCTTGGAGGGCTTATATTAGAGAAAACAGAGTATAGCACATGGCTAACTGTGATACACACTCGTACTGCACCATAAAACTGAAACAAAAAAGCTACTTTCTCTACATAGATTATCATACATAGCAGCATGTGTGTTGAGAACCTAGGATAACCCAAAAAAGTCAGTGGCTTATTTCTAGTACCTGGCTTGGGCTTGCCATATATGATTTTTGGTAAATATCTGATTCCCAGCCAGGATAGAAACACTGGGTGTGTTTCTTTACACCTGTTGTCTAAGTTTACCCATCAGTAAATGGGTACCCAGGTTTTACTGGACTGGTGTGGGTCTTATCCTGGGGAACTGACCTAATTTGCCTGAAATGCTTAGCATAACAAGGGGCTTTCTATATAGTAGTGTGCTGTATAGCCCTTGTGGCTTAGCGCTTCTTTTTGATTATAATAATAATAATAATATATAGTAGTGTGTCATTGATGTCAGCAAGGCCTGTATACCTTGTACATGTACTTGTAGTAAATATATTTATTAATAATAATATAAGCTGTATAGTTCTTGTGGCTTAGCGCTTCTTTTTGATTATAATAATAATAATAATAATATAATAATAATTATTATATTATTATTATTATTTTTCTCTCAGTTTTGTTGGGCTATCTTATCGATACTTGGGCAATGTATGACGGAAAGATGCTTCTTAATGTACACCAAAAATGAAAGAAATTGGACCATAAATAACAGAATTCACTTCTCAGTCATTAGCCGCCCCGAAGAGGTATATTTTCGTATGGTTTTTATGGTTGTACATATTCTCATTTTTTTGGTCTCATTTGATAGAATGGAAGATATATTACAGAAACAGATATGAATTTGATTGTTTTCATGACGAAAAGTATCTTGAAATTGAGCTCAAAGTAACGGAAACGTTTGATTTTTTGGCGATGTTCATGAGTAAACAAATGACATCACCGTCTAATACGTGTCTGCCTGCCAGTCCAAATTCCAATACACAGTCACGAATGGGTTGACATTATTTATACAATTATTACAATAATACAATAGTCTGCCAAACAGTAAATCTTCTATTTTTTGTGTGAATAAAAATTCCAAATGGTAAGCAAGAGTAATATAAGAGGGGCCTGGAGCCATGACTAATGAACAAAGAAAATGTTATTTTAATGCCAGGAATGTCTGCACTGTTTATTCTGGACCCTATTTTGAAATTGGCATCTGTTTAAATTTGTGTGAAATTGGCCAAATTGCCAATTTCTGATCACTTTATTGGGTAGCTGAAATAGGTGAATGGGCGGTTTCTTGTACTCGGTTGACAAAACGGGCGTAAGTTTATTCAGGCATACACAAATATGTACAGTTACAAGGATTATCATACATAGCACTGTATGTATAGAGAACCTAGGATAACCCAAAAAAGTCAGACAGTGACTTATTTCCAATACCTGGTTTGGGCTTGCCATATGATTTTTGGTAAATATTTTTTTTTCTCAGTTGTTTGTTGGGCTATCTTACTGAAACTTGGGCAATGTATGATGGAAAGATGCTTCTTAATGTACACCAAAAATAAAAAAAAATTGGACGATAAATAAGGGAGCTCACTTCTTAAGTCATTAGCTGCCTCCTTGCGGTAAATTTTCATATGGCTTTTATGGTTGCATTCTCGTTTTTTGGGTCTCATTTGATAGAATGGAAGATATATTACAGAAATAATATGATTTTGATTGGTTTCACAAAAAAAGTACCTTGAAATTGAGCTCAAAGTAATGGAAATGTTCAACTTTTGCCGATGTTCAATGAACTTTCTTGTGTAAGTCAAGTTGGTTAATTTTATTAAGTGTATTCTAACCTAATCACTCTGAAATCCGGCAAACTCAATAATCCGGCACACTACAGGTCCCAATGATGCCTGATTTGCAATGGCAGACCTAAATATCACTCGAATCTGTTTGGAATTGACGTAATAATAACCAGAATAAAAGGGAGAACTGGGCAAAGAAAGTCAGTCAGAAAAACAGGGAATAAAGGTTTCCAGTCACTGGATGTCTATCAGTAAAAAAACACTGGATAATTGATACCCGCAAGTAAGTAAGTTCGAGAATTTGTAGGGATGGCTATACCATATTTTTTCTGATTCAAAGGCATATTTTGAATTAAGGTACTGTGAAGAAAACAGACATGTTCATCATTCTTTTAAGTATCCACCACTATACTGACAAGTTCATCACTTTTACCCCACCTTTTTCTTTTGATTATACAGGGATGTTTGACCATGCAGTCATGCCCATACAATGGCATACAGTATGTATTACAAGTTATGGACCTATAACTTTGGAATACGTAAAGTAAAAATTGGGAGGGCCACGATGCATGTCTGGGATATGATCAAGGGCAAACATGGCTGATCAGAAATTGCTAGCTGTCTCCTGCACTGTTATAAATGAACCTTAACTCTGGTGAGTACCTACCTATATTTATATTTTACCATAATTATCGTTGCTTTGCAGGTTATATAAGTATATTTACCAGATTTTAACTTTTCTTGCAATTCTGACTCTCACCCTCTGTTGCATATTCATTTATGCTTCCTCCTAGACACGTACAGCATGGATTTTACACCTTAGAGCTCATTAAATCTGCTGTAAAATGAGACCAGTTTGATCAACATTGTAAAGTGGTTTGTATCAATATTTCAGTAACCATGTTGCAAAAGTTTGTAGGCAATTTTCTCAAAAGTGACATTTGGCAAGTTCATCGGCGTTCTTCCCACTGCCTCGTTTGTGATGTTTGATCTGTATACTTAGTCTTTTCATATTGTCCAGTACTGTACTTTACTACACCCAATTGTGATATCATAGCAGCTTCAGGTATCACCTCATTTTTGTTTTTCTAAATCTTATGACTTAGATTTACATAGAGACAGTGAAAGGACTTTGAGACTAATCTATATCATGGAGAATTTGATGGGCATCATGATGAGTAAATACAGTAATGCATAAAATAAAACAAGTAACTAACTTTCCTTTTGTGTGTATTTGTCCATGAATTGACAGCTTAAAAGGTAGCTCTTGAGTACCTAAACTTTCAAACTTGCTCACATAACCTCCTTCATCTAGGATTGAATCTGCAATTCTTTTTACTGCTGATACTGTGCTTGCCTGAAAAATACAATAAAATTCAATTAGTTGTAAGGGAAAAAATGAATGAATTCAAATACACATACATAATCATATGCAGTACGCAGAGATATAATGCAACTAACGTTTTAGACATGTAGTGTAACTCCTGTACATGAGGGTTTGCAGTTAAAAAGGCGATTCATATAAAATTAATCTAAAGGGAACAAAAATATTAAACAAAGGCACAGTGAACTGAAATAATTTTAATAGTTTCTCATTCATTAATATCATACCCATTTATGAGCAATTACAGTAAATATCTCAGTTCTGATTCACTTAAAAAAATCAAGTGGGCTTCCTTCTTTGCAACTGTTAATTAGTCATTTCAATTGTTGAGCAGCCTGTGGATATATCTGATTAGGCATGGATTTTCTGACTAGATACTGCAAGTATATTTTGCCCCAACTGTCAGAAGTTACAATTCTAGCATACAAAACTGAGACTGTTGTAATTTTCGTTTCTGAATCTTGGTTAGGTTACTGGTACTAATGATGAAGCCAAAACAGAAAGCTACAGTATTCTGCAGTTTCTGCCAGTTCATGATTTGCATTCTGCTATCCTTTGCTGCCTTTCACTCAGAAGTGGCCAGCTATGACAGCAGCAGCACAGGCAGAATATTTCCTCTATGCACTTTGGGCCCTATTTGTTTCACGGTAGACCTAGCATTACTTTGCTGTGCTTACACTTACCCTCCACCCCATCAGTTGCCTCATGGATGTGTACCATATGATTACAGTACATATTCTCTTCCATTTCTGATCATTTCATCACCCTTTGTCATGTCTGAATATTAATCATGTCATCAAAAGAAGGGAATCTGGTGTTGGTGAAGGTGCCACAAAGAAGTTGAAGTGAGAAACTATGCCTCTAATGAAGAAAGTTGAGGTTGCAAAGATGATCAAAGGTAGTGCACAAGTGATTGATGTAGGCAGAGCCTTTGGTACAAGAGAATCGACAAATCGTTAAATTTGAAACAATGAGAATATAAGACCTTGTGTAATAAAAAAAAAACCAAAGAAAATGCTAAATGATGGGATCAAGTAGAAAATAAATAAAAGTTCCTTGCTTAATTACATTACAACCCAAGAAAAAGTTCTATCGCACTATCATACAGCATATGAGAATAACAGAAATCCTGTAAACTAGTGTACCTTTAGTCATGGATGATTTAATTGTTTTAGATTGCAAAGTAAGCTTCATAACACAGTTAAGTGGTGTGTGTACTGCTGCTGACCACATGACTAGATAAAAAATTTCTGAGGGGCATACGAAAACCTCGGTTTTCGTATGCAAAACTATAGTTATTCTCTATAAAATGTATTTTTGTTAATATTTCCCATAAAAAATTATGTAAATTCAATTAATCCGTTCCAGACACCCAAAAATATTAACAAAAAATACATTTTATAGAGAACAATTATGGTTTTACATACAGACTCAGGTGTGTGACTACACACCTGAGATTTAATGCTGATGAGATAAGATTATTCAGGAACGTGCCTTCCAGAAGTACATAAGCAAGCAAAAGAAAACCGAACCAAGATTCAAGGAAGTGTAAAGTATTTTCAACTTACTACTGTATGTTAATGCATCAGGTGAATTTAAGTGCAGGTCCATACTTATCTGTTGCTCCAAGAATCCCCATGCTTTGAAATGGAAAGACAAAAGCACTTTGCATCTCATTTAACAGTCTAACCAGTCAGCACATTGGGAATAGGAGGTTTTCTTATCCGAGGAAGGGAAAGGCATCTCCAGTTCTTAATAATAATAATGCGGATCAAAATCAATTTATCAACAGCATTTGTAATTTCCTAAACAAAGCTTGTTGTTAGTGTCCCATGGCCTGGTAGGCAACGCTCTTGCTTCCCACACACACTGTCCGCGGTTCGATCCCCAGCAGGGGGTAGAAACATTGGGTGTGTTTCCTTACACCAGTTGTCCCGTTCACCTAGCTAGTAAGTAGGTACCTGGGTGTTAGTCAACTGGTGTGGGGTCGCATCCTGGGGAACAAGATATACAGACTTTGCAAAAGCCTTCGACAAGTGTGACCATGGCGTATTAGCGCACAAAATGCGTGCTAAAGGAATAACAGGAAAAGTCGGTCGATGGATCTATAATTTCCTCACTAACAGAACAGAGAGAGTAGTCGTCAACAGAGTAAAGTCCGAGGCAGCTACGGTGAAAAGCTCTGTTCCACAAGGCACAGTACTCGCTCCCATCTTGTTCCTCATCCTCATATCCGACATAGACAAGGATGTCAGCCACAGCACCGTGTCTTCCTTTGCAGATGACACCCGAATCTGCATGACAGTGTCTTCCACTGCAGACACTGCAAGGCTCCAGGCGGAAATCAACCAAATCTTTCAGTGGGCTGCAGAAAACAATATGATGTTCAACGATGAGAAATTTCAATTGCTCAGATATGGTAAACATGAGGAAATTAAATCTTCATCAGAGTACAAAACAAATTCTGGCCACAAAATAGAGCGAAACACCAACGTCAAAGACCTGGGAGTGATCATGTCGGAGGATCTCACCTTCAAGGACCATAACATTGTATCAATCGCATCTGCTAGAAAAATGACAGGATGGATAATGAAAACCTTCAAAACTAGGGAGGCCAAGCCCATGATGACTCTTCAGGTCACTTGTTCTATCTAGGCTGGAATATTGCTGCACACTAACAGCACCTTTCAAGGCAGGTGAAATTGCCGACCTAGAAAATGTACAGAGAACTTTCACGGCGCGCATAACGGAGATAAAACACCTCAATTACTGGGAGCGCTTGAGGTTCCTAAACCTGTATTCCCTGGAACGCAGGAGGGAGAGATACATGATTATATACACCTGGAAAATCCTAGAGGGACTAGTACCGAACTTGCACACGAAAATCACTCACTACGAAAGCAAAAGACTTGGCAGACGATGCACCATCCCCCCAATGAAAAGCAGGGGTGTCACTAGCACATTAAGAGACCATACAATAAGTGTCAGGGGCCCGAGACTGTTCAACTGCCTCCCAGCACACATAAGGGGGGATTACCAACAGACCCCTGGCAGTCTTCAAGCTGGCACTGGACAAGCACCTAAAGTCAGTTCCTGATCAGCCGGGCTGTGGCTCGTACGTTGGTTTGCATTCAGCCAGCAGCAACAGCCTGGTTGATCAGGCTCTGATCCACCAGGAGGCCTGGTCACAGACCGGGCCGCGGGGGCGTTGACCCCCGGAACTCTCTCCAGGTAAACTCCAGGTAAACCCCAATGGAAATAAGATAGACCTCGATGATGCACTGCCTTTCTTGGGTTATCCTGGGTGGCTAACCCTCCAGGGTTAAAAAATCCTAATAAAATCGTATCTTATCTTATGGGGAAGCGCTAAAACCAAAACACCTGGGTAACGGAAATTATTATTATTATAATCAAGGGGGAAGCGCTAAACCCGGAGGATTATACAGCGCCTGGGGGGGGGGATGTGGAAGGCATTCAGGCTTAATTCGGGGAACTGGAGCACAGATCCAATTCCCTAAATCAAGAGCCCCTCACCAACATCAAGGAACCTTCCTTGAGGGGTGGGTAACGGAAAGCACTGAAGTTCGAAGAGAAGGCTAAATAGTTCGATGGGAACAAATCTATGGTCTTATTTTCTAAGTCCAATAAAGCGTACCTTAGGCATATTTTTCACAATGATACACAGTTCGTATAAAGCCATATTAGTTGCTGCTTCTACTTCTTGTTGGGATGGTTGGTTGGTTGTTGGGGTTTATAGGGCCACTTCTTGTTGGGTTTTCAAGGGTCTTTTATTGCTTTCTTTGTTGGGTTTATCAGGGCCATTGACAGCATAAGCCGTATCGAGTCCGGTTTCTCGATGGTACGAGGAAAATTTGTTGCCCAAGGCTGGGCGATGAAAGAAAAAGAACAAAAGTTTCTTTGAGATAGAAACTTGAAGTTTCCAATTAGATCCGGTGGACCACCTTGCCAAGCACCAGTAGAGAGGGACGTCCACACCCCCGCCTGAGTTCAGTAACCGGCTTCCCGCCAAAGACCGTTAAAGAATTTTCCGCAGAGCGGAAAAAATGGAGCTGGCTACAGTAAGTCGATGTACAGGTGTCCCACCTGTAGGGTGCCCGACGAGCAAAATAGATGAGGACACGTCCCAGAGAGAACGGTGGAAATTTGCCACTGATACACAGGCGAGAGAGAGACGTCCACACCTGACGAAGGCTGGCGCAGTAGTCCGTTGTTCTTGCTGTTGATGATGATGATGGGGTTTGTAGGGCCACTGGCAGGATACACCGTATCGCATGTGTTGTTGCTGCTGCTGTTATTGTTATTGGGAGTTTTGAGGGCCATCACAGCTTCGGTCATATTGAACCCTTCTTCCCGGGAGTCTATAATGTTCCCAAATCTGGGAAGGAATAATAATAGTTGTAGTTGTATTTGTTGTTGTTTTTATCTGAGCCATACAAATAATGTCAAATATATTAGTACAGTAGTAGGCACAAAGAAAGACGCTAATTATGCAATGCATAATTTTTTTTTTATGCCTGTGAGTTCTGTTGCAGGTATTCAAGAAGAGTTTCAGATTATTATTATTATAATCAAGGGGGAAGCGCTAAACCCGTAGGATTATACAGCGCCCAGGGGAGGGGGGATGTGGAAGGCATTCAGGCTTAATTCGGGGAACTGGAGCACAGATCCAATTCCCTAAATCAAGAGCCCCTCACCAACATCAAGGAACCTTCCATGAGGGGTTTGAAGAGTTTCAGAGAAGAGATTATATTAGGTGAGTTTCAACCTTCGAAGAATTGGGTAATCTTTGGCACAGCGGCCTTTTGTTGAGTTATTATTAGTTTTAGGAAATTTGATGTAGTAGATTCCCATGTACAAATACCATAGGTGAGGTATGGATACACTAGAGAGTACTACAGTGTAAATAAGTGCTGTTTGAGGTATACAGTAACATCTTGGAGAGGAAGACTGCTGTTTTGGAGACCTTTTTTATGTGCTGGAAGTGGGTATTAAACTTCAAGTTGCAGACGAGGTGTTAGGATAGGATAGGATTTCGTTCGGATTTTTAACCCCGGAGGGTTAGCCACCCAGGATAACCCAAGAAAGTCAGTGTGTCATCGAGGACTGTCTAACTTATTTCCATTGGGGTCCTTAATCTTGTCCCCCAGGATGCGACCCACACCAGTCGACTAACACCCAGGTACCTATTTGCTGCTAGGTGAACAGTACAACAGGTGTAAGGAAACGTCTAAATATTTCCACCCGCCGGGAATCGAACCCGGGCCCTCCGTGTGTGAAGCGGGAGCTTTAGCCACCAGGCCACTGGGCCACACTGAATTTTCTGTCTTAGAATGGGAGAACCGTTGACCATTATATTTAGTTGGACATTTGTAGAGGTTTGCAAACAACATAAGAAAGATGTAACACTGCAACAGGCCTACTGGCCCATGCAAGGCAGGTCCAAGTCTCCCTCTGGCTTAAGTTAATGCCCCAACCTAGTCAGGTCAGGTCACATTCACTGAAGGAAGGAGCACAGCATCTGACCTAGTAGCACAAGCTAGTCAGGTCCAACTCACACCCACCCACACCCACTCATGTATTTATCTAACCTATCTTTTATACTACACAACGTTTTAGCCTCTATAACTGTACTCGGGAGTTTGTTCCACTCATCCACAACTCTATTACCAAACCAGTGCTTTCCTATATCCTTCCTGAATCTGAATTTTTCCATCTTAATGCCATTGCTGAGAGTCCTGTCTAGGCTAGATATTTTTAGCACACTATTTATATCCCCTTTATTTATTCCTGTCTTCCATTTATAAACCTCAATCATATCCCCCCTAATTCTACACCTTTCTACCCCTCAAGGAAGGTTCCTTGATGTTGGTGAGGGGCTCTTGATTTAGGGAATTGGATCTGTGCTCCAGTTCCCCGAATTAAGCCTGAATGCCTTCCACATCCCCCCCCCCCCAGGCGCTGTATGATCCTCCGGGTTTAGCGCTTCCCCTTTGATTATAATAATAATCTACACCTTTCTAGAGTGAAGATTCAGGGCCCTCAGTCTATCCCATAGGAAAGATTTCTGAAACGTGGGATCAACTTTGGCATCCTCCTTTGTACATTTTCCAGAGCATTTATATCCATTCTGTAATACGGTGACCAAAGCTGTGCAGCATAATCTAAATGAGGCCTAACCAAGGATGTATAGAGTTGAAGAACAACCTGAGGACTCCTATTATTTATGCTTCTCGATATGAAGCCAAACATTCTGTTAGCTTTATTCTGGACACTTATGCACTGTTGTCTTGGTTTTAGATTACTGCTAACCAGAACTCCTAAATCCTTTTTACAGTCCACAGTATTAAGATCTACATTATTAAGTTTGTGTGGCATGGTTATTTACCTGTCCAACATTTAGAACTTTGCATTTGTCTATATTAAACTGCATCTGCCACTTCTCTGACCATTGCATCAGTCTATTCAAATCTTCCTGGAGTGCTCTAGTGTCCTCATTAGAATGAATTCGACGGCCTGTTTTGGTGTCATAGGTAAACTTGCTAATGTTGCTATATATTCCCTCATCCATGTCATTTATGTAGATTGCGAACAACAACTGGCCCAACACTGACCCCTGTGGAACACCGCTCGTGATGCTTCCCCACTGATTTCTCCCCATTTATGCAAACTCTCTGCTGCCTATTTGTCAACCATGCCTCTATCCAGGAAAAAATTTCTCCTCCTATTCTGTGTGCCTTAATTTTCCTCAATAGTCTCTGATGTGGGACTCTATCAGAAGCCTTACTGAAGTCCATATACACAATATCATATTCATTACCATATTCATTCATTATCATGTAGAAAATTTTGTCAGTATTAAAAGTGAGTGTATTGGTAAGTAAATTCATTCAGGTATACACAAATACAGTTACATAATACGTACATAGATTATCATACATAACAACATATGTGTAGAGAACCTAGGATAGCCCAGAAAAGCCAGACAGAGTGACTTATTTCCATTGGGGTCAGTTTTCTTTTGGTAGTCATCCAAGTAGATATTTTAGGAGCTCCTCGTTAAGTGTTGAGAGAAATCGGATTAAAGTGGCAGATGACAAAGTTGTGTCAACTGTAAGGAGACGAGATGCATTTGGGAGATGATTGATGTATATGAGGACAAGCAAAGGGCCAAGAACACTGCCCTGAGGCACCCCTATGTCTACAGGTCAAGTTGACTAGGTTATGCTAGTGAGACATACTAGTGTCTGCTAGTAAGATAAGACTTTACATATTGCAAGAGTATGACCTCTGATACCAAAATGTTTTAGTTTAAGATACAGGATGTTGTGGTCCATTGTGTTGAAGATTTCTGCAGGTCTGTGAAGAGACCCAGAGGATATTAATTATTTTCAAGAACTGCATAAAGCCGTTCAGGCATTTTTGTAATTGCACTATTTGTACTTTTTGTACTAAAACCAAACTGGCAAGGGTTGAGTATATTGTGAGATACTAGGGAAGAGTAAATTTGCTTATGAATTATTTGAAGATTATGCCCGAAATGCTCAAGGATGCTAGCGGCTTTCTCTGTGTTTAACAAAACTTTATTACATGTAAACTACAGTTTGCATACTACACAGAGAAATAAGAAAAATTATTTGATTTTGATTTTTTGAATGACAGGCTGGATATTAGCCTATTGTTATTTATCTCAGTTGGAGGTAAACAGAAATGGGAACAATTCCTTATTAGGTCTGGTGAATCTCTTGTTTAAACTCAGATGCCCTCACACCCCAACTTGAGTCAGTAACCAGCTTTTTCCAAGGTTGTAAAAATTTTCAGGGCGGAAAGGGAAGCTTATGTACACTCAATGCTTTTATACACTACTGCTCACAAGATGAGCACAGGTGCATGATGAACTAGTCACTCAGTTAACATAACTAACTGATAACTCTACTCTTCACTGAGTCCAGCACAGTAGCCCAAAATCGTTGTGAATCAACATTTTGGGTGGTTTGTATGACCAACATTGGGATTAGCGCTTGGTTTTGGTTGTAATAATGAGGACCACCGCAGCTTAGTGTATTCAGCGGCGAGCCCTATTTTGTGCTGTCCTTTGTGGCTGTCTTTTGGGCTCTTATTCCATCTCCTGTTGGGGCTAGCAATCTTCTTTCTGTCCTCTCATGATTGAGAATTCTCCAATCCCCGAGAACCGATGGATAGTAAGTTTATTCAGGTACAGGTACACATAAATATAGTAGTTACATAAATTATCATACATAGCAGCATGTGTGTAGATTACATGGAATAACCAAATAAAGGTCATACAATAAGTAAATACATGTAATATAATAAATAAAATATTTTTCTTTGCTAAGGTTACAATGTGTGTTTACATAATATAATATGTTTGGAGCAAAGAAAGTCACTATCATGCCAAGGTATTTTGGGCAGACTTTACCTAATACATGTACTTATAGACTGCTTAAGTCTAGACAGGTGAAGAGTGGTTGAATACAAATAGTCAATATTCACCCTATTGTTAATATGAGGTAGTACAATTTATGACAATCTTACATTTATAAGTACGTAATTAAGTTCTTTTACAGTGGTAGAATACGAATATTCTGTATTTCACTCTATTATTAATATGAGGTAGTATAATTTATGATACAGTCAATCATACATTTTTAAGTTTGTAATTAAGTTCATTTACTCTATTATTAATACAAGGTAGTACAGTTAATAATATAAACATACATTTATAAGTTTGTAAAAATGGCTTAATAGTTTAGGGATAATAAAGTATTTGGGGGAGTTGCTTTGAATTTAGTTGTGGTTTAGCATGGTGTGGGTATGTTTGTTATTGAGAGATGAGATGGTTTTTGAGTATGGTCCTAAACTGATTTGTGGGCAGGGGACCTCTTGCTGCTTCAGGCAAAGAGTTCTAGGTCTTAGGGCCCTGTATGTGCATTACATTTTTGCAAAGTGTGAGACTGACACGAGGGATGTCAAAGTGTTTTGTACCCTCATGTTATGCTGTCTAGGAGAAGTTTGAGCATAGGGTTGATATTGGATATTAATGTTCTGTATAAGTAGTAGGCATGGTAATAAGTGTGTATATTATGTGAATTCTTTCCATTGGGGTCCTTGGATAAGGCTCAGTACAGAATACAACATGGTGGCTCTTAAACAATGGCAACAAGAGGTTTGTATAAGTTTATTCAGGTATAGGTACACACAGATAGTTACAACTAACAAATTACC